TGCCGCCTCACTTTCTTGAAAGATTTCAATTTTTATTCCATCAATTCCTGGTGCCTTGTTCTTTGCCAATTCTTTCAATGCATTTTCGACTTCCTCCCTGAGTATCATTGTCAGTAAATCACAGGTAAACATCTTTCTGTTATTTTCTGCTTTCAGTGAAGATCCATCTGATGTCAGCAATGAAATCCCTCGTGCCAGGTCCTCATCTGAATCTGACTTGAATCTCTGGCAGTTTCCTGTCAGTGTACTGTTTCAGCTGTTTTTAAATTACATTCAGCAAAATTTTATTTTCTATTTTTGAATTATCTTCAAATTTTTACTTGCATATGATATTAATTATAGTGTCCAATGTGGTCACCTTTCTTCGGAATGGGCACAATCCATCCAGTTGGCCAGGTTTTCCAAATTTCTTGGTATAGATAAGTGAGTGCCTCCATGAATTCATTGTTCTTTGTCAGTGCATTCAGTGCACCTTGGACTTCTTGATCATATATACCCTCTTGAAATGGTTGAACATCAACCATTCTTTTTGGTACAGTGACTCTGTGTATTCCCTCCATCTTATTTGTGATGCTTTCTGCATCATTCAATATTTTGACCAAAGAATCCTTCAGTATTTCACATCAAGGCTTGAGTTTTTTCTGTCAGCTTGAGAAATACTAAGCGTGTTCTTTCCTTTTGTTTTCCTAACTCCATGTTTCATGATAATATTTGACTTTGTCTTCTCGAACTTCCCTTTGAAGTTTTCAGCTCAGCTCTTTTACCTCTTCATTTCTAACATTTGCTTTAGCAACTGTGTGCTGGAGAGCAAGTTTCAGTGTCTCTTCTGACATTCATTTTGGTCTTTTCCTTCTTTCGTGTCTTTTTAATGACATTTTGCTTTCTTCTTATATGATGTACTTGATATCATCCCAGTACTTCTGGTATTCGGTCATCTATGTCCAGTGCATCTAATCTGTTCTTGAGATGATCTGTAAATTGTGTTGGGATATGTTCCAGATCATATTTTGCTTTCATGGACTTGTTTGAGTTTTCTTCAGCTTTAGCCTGAATTTGCATATGAGTAATTGATTGTTCTACAGTCTGCCCCTGGTCTTGTTTTGGCTGACAATATGGAGCTTTCTTACCGTCTCTTTCCACAGATATGATCAGTGTGATTTTCTTCCATTTTGGTTTTCTAACTCTAGTTCTTTGCATACTTAATTATAATACTTTACTTTGCCTTCTAGAATGGCTCTTTTAAATTTTCTGTTCAACTTTACTTCATTTTTTCCATTCACATAAGCTACAAGCTGGGTTCTATGAAGCAAAACATGGCATCAGGATTGGAGGAAGATTAATTAACAACCTGTATTATGCAGATGATACAACCTTGCTTGCTAAAAGTGGTGAGGACTTAAAACATTTACTGATGATGGTCAAAGAGCACAGCCTTCAGTATGGATTACACATCTCAATGTAAAGAAAACAAAAATCCTCACCACTGGGCCAATAAACAACATTCATATCAACAGAGAAAAGATTGAAGTTGTCAAAGACTTCATTCTTGGATCAACTATCAACACTCACGGAGTAGTCAAGAGATCAGACGACGTATTGCATTAGGCAGATCTGCTGCCTTTTTAAAATGTTGAAGAGCAAAGATGTCAGCTTGAGGACTAAGGTGTGCCTGACCCAAGCCATACTATTTTCAATAATCTCATATGCTTACAAAAGCTGGAAAGTGAATACGGAAGACTGTAGGACAATTGATGCCTTTGAGTTATGGTGGAGGAGAATATTGAAAGTGCCATGGGCTGCCAAAACAACCAATAGGTCCGTTTTGGGAGAAGTCCAGCCATAGTGCTCCTTAGAGCCCAAAATGGCCAAACTTCATCTGTCATACTTCAGACATATTATCAGGGGCACCAGTCATTGGAGAAGGATATCATGTATGATAAGGTAGAGAGTCAGAGGAAAAGAGGAAGACCCCCAACGAGATGGATTGACCAAGTGGCAGCATCGATGGACTCAAGCATGGCAACAGTAGTGAGGTTGGCCCAGGATTGAGCAGTGTTTCGTTGTGCTGTGCATAAGGTCGCTATGGGTTGGTACCAACTCAGTGGCACCTAACAACAATTGTGTTCAAGAGCTGCTGCTGACATCCACTTTGATCTTTTCTTGCATAAGGTCGCTATGGGTTGGTACCAACTCAGTGGCACCTAACAACAATTGTGTTCAAGAGCTGCTGCTGACATCCACTTTGATCTTTTCTTTTTTGTGATTTTAATGGCCTTTTGATTTCTTCATGTATGAAGTTCTTGGTGTCATTCTTCAACTCTCTGGTCTTCTGGCCTTGTTTTCACTGATGAGCTTCTCCATCGTCTCTTTCCACGGATGTAATCAATTTAATTTTTGTATATTCTGTCTTGCGAGGTCCATGTGTATAGTCGCCATTGATGTTGCTATAAAAGGTATTTAAATTAATTAGGTTTGCAAAATTATATCACGTGATCTCCAACCTCATATAATTTAACTGGTATGTTGTAGTTTAATTCAAAATGCTAAATTATAAATTAGGGTAATGTGTTTAATTACTCCTAAGTTTGATTGTTTAAATTGTACATTGATGTCATATCAATTTTTCTGTTACAGACTTTGACGTTCTTAAAGAGATCAGGACCATCTCTCAATGAAGTCATTCTTGATGGTTATAATCGCTGTCTTGTGGCTGGCCTTCTCTCACCAAGACTTATTGATATTCAGCCTTCTACTTTAAGTCAAGTGAGTGGTTTTTGAAGTTGGATGTTAGTATTGTTCTATTATAATAAAAATCAACTAGGTAATTTCTGAAAAAGTACGTTAAGTAATGTAACATCTTCCCTGCATAATCAGTATTTGTGGGCTTGGATTTGGCTTAAAATTCATACTTCTCGTACCTGATAGGCCATAACCTGGAATGAGTGTAGTTAGCTGTATGAAAGAGTATCAGATAGGAAACGGCATAGCACCTACCTAAAGTATATCATGGATGGATGTTATAGCAGGCAAAGGACTACTTTCCAGTCCTAGGGAGATCAGCATTAGTGCAAGAGATCGATGTGCTAAAGTGGAAGCCATTATGGATTTGGTGAGTCTCTTCTTCTTTATAGCAACAAAGTGTGATCCTTGGCATCAGCATCACATGGAAATAATGAGTCCTGATGTGGCACTGTAGAATAAAGCACTGGACCACAAGGTTGGTTTGAACCATAAGGTTGGTGGTTCAAGCTCCAGCCATTCCTTGGAAACGCTATATAAAGTCGCTATCAGCCCCCAAACCGACCAAATGGCATTTAACAACTCCCTAATAAATTAAATTTGGGGTTTAGCACAGTAATTTTTTTTAACAAATACTTGATGTGATTCTGATACAGAGGTTTGAGAACTAGTCCTCTATAAAAACTAGTGAAACTCTTAGGTTCCTGAAACGAGAGACATGATTAGTTATGAGTCAGTCTCAGTCTTGGGAGACAAAATCTTCCAAATAAATACTTATAGTCCACTTACAGTCCTCTAGTATCAATTCTTTTACCACTTGGAAGACATCGTAAAATAAAGTATTGGCTAATGATACAGGAGTCCTGCTGTGGTGCTGTGGGTTAATGAACCAGACTGCAAAGCTGGTTGAACTGCAAGGTCAGTGGTTCAAGCTCACCAGCTGCTCCTTGGAAACCCTGTACAGGGTCGCTATGGGTTGGAACCGACTCAGTAGCAAGTAACAACAGCAACAGTGACACAGCTAAGAAATCACAATTTTTAAAAACTCTGTATTTACCTACAACGCATTACTTGTTATTAAGTGATGTCAAGTCAGTTCCAACTCATAATAGCCCTGTCGAGGGTTTCCAAGGAGCAGCTGGTGGGTTTGAACTGCTGAACTTGTAATTCACAGTCCACTGATGGATCCTATAGCTGTCACACCAGGAATCCCTATTAGTTGTTAAGTGCCATCATGTCGGTTCCAACTCACAGCGACCCTGTATTGGGTTTCCAATGAATGGCTGGTGAGCTTGAATCACCAACCTTGTGGTTCAAACTGACCTTGTAGTCCAGCACATTAACCTGCAGTGCCACACTAGGACTCCATAATATTTGTAGAAGGAAAATCCCAGGTCATTTAACATGGAGAAAGAAAACGTTTTATAGACTTTTCTATCTACCAGTATTTGAGTTGTTGTGAAGTGCTTTCGAGTCGGTTCTGACCCATAGCAACCCTGTATAGGGTTTCCAAGGAGCAGCTGGTGAGTTCAAACTGCCGACCTTGCAGTTCAAACAGCTTTACAGTCTGGCGCATTAACCCACAGTGCCACACTAGGACTCCAGTATTCGAGTTACAGTATTTAAATTTAAATAACTACAGAAATATAACTTACAGGATTCCTGGGAAAAGATCCTTGTAGATATTATAAAAGAGATTCATTAATGTATGCTCAGGAACGTTTACCTTTTTACATATAACTACTGGTAGCATAGTGGTTACGAATTGGGCTGCGAACTTTAAGGTCAACAGTTCGAAACTACCAGCTGTTCCGCAGGAGAAAGATGAGGCTTTCTGCTCTCGTAAAGATTTACAGCCTCGGAAACCCTGTACAGGGTCGCTATGAGTCAGAACCGACTCCACGGCACATCACAACAGCAACAGACTATTTATTTCTAATTTTGTGTATTTAGACTAGTAGACATCCATCCCTTCTGTCCCCCCCCAAGAAAAATTCCAAACAGAAAAAAATTAGTTAAATTGGAATTAGGCGATTCCAATTTAAATTTATTAGAAAACTCAGGCGATTGTTGCTGTGGAGTCCCAGCTCAAGGCTGCTGGGGAAACTGAATAAACTGTCTAGTCAGTCTTCAGATTGATGATACTTAGGGTACTCCTAAGTACACCATATAGTTTTTGTTTTGTTTAGTTTTGTTTTTTTAATGTTTTATTTTGAATTATATGATAGTTTACATGGGAGAACTTTAGTTTTACATTCATTCCATCTTATATCATCTCACTGCCATGGTTCCAATCCCCTCCATGCATCATCAACTACCCAAAGGGTATATCCCAGAAACCTGCTCCCTACACTTCCCCCTCCTCCCCCCAGTTTTCAGCCCACAGTCCCTTTCTCTCTCTGGGTCCAAGGTCCCTAGTCGCTTCATCTCTCCACGTCATCATCTCTGTCTCTTTTCAGGCATCTCTGTTTCTCTGGGTAGGGTCCCACGCTCGGCTCTTCTCCGTTGGTGGTCCCAGAGGCCACTGCTCCTATCCTGGAGAATTAATCACTCCCTTCCTTGTTACAGAACTTCCACCTTTGCATTTCCAGCCCTCATAATCCGTCTTGATAAGCATTATTCACTACAGTATCACGAGTTACCCATCTGTATCTCCTTTCATCAGCTCCACCCAGACAGATTGAATAGTACCTACTGGAGATTCTGCCTTCCGCCATGCTCCCTAGCACCAGGTTCCCTCTTGAAAGCTTGTAAGCCAGTCACTTCTTGACTTTGTAGACCCCCCTCCCCATTTGAGTATCCAATATCCAAGCTGCCCTTCTCCGTCCACTCTGTGTGTGGTGGGGGGTGTGAATGTTTCTTGCTGTGAGTCCATGTACCTAAAAAGTTCTAAAGGAAATGAAAATGTGTGTACAGCATGTTAATAACATTTTTGGCCAATCAGGGTTTGCTCTTATATTAATTACACATTTGTGGTTTACCTTTTTTTTTTTTTGTAACAGTTTTATTGTGAATTATGTGATACTTTACATGGAAGAACAATAGCTTCACATTCATCCTATCATATATCATTATATTGCCATAGTTACAGTCCCCTCAATGCATCATCAACCAACCAAAGGTTACACCCCATAAGCCTGCCCCCTGGTCATCAACACACAGCCCCTCTCTCTCTCTGGGTATAGTTCCCAGCTGCTCCATCTCTCCATGTCACCATCTCTGCCTGCATTTCTGGCATCACTGTTTGTTTGGGTAGGGTCCTACACTCTGCTCTTCTCCCTTGATGGTCCCAGGGACCTCTGTTCCTGGACTGCAAAGTCAACCACTCCCCTCCTTTTGCTACAAAACGTCTACCTTTACATTTCCAACCCTCACAGTCAGTCCTGATGGTAACTATTCACTATTGTACCACATGAGTGCTATCCCCATCTCATTTCATCAGTCCCACCCAGACAGATTGGATACTGCTCAGTGGAGATTCTACCTTCCTCCACACCCTCTGGATTTAGGCTCCCTCTTGAAAGCTTGTAAACCAATCACTTCTTGCCTTTGTAGCTCCCTCGTATTGGGTAGCCAGTGTCCAAGTTGCCCATCCCTCCCTGTCTACCCTGTGTATTAAGGGGGGGTGGGAATGATCCTCACTGTTAAGATTTGTTCCCTCTTTTGAGCTACTGCATCCATAGGTGTAGGTCAAGTTCATCAAATTGTATCAGATTCCTCTTTTTTTCCTCTTCTTTCTTCTTCCAGTTGAGCTCTGATCATCCAGCCATTGAAACCAGGTCAAGTGGGTATTATCTGCAAGTGTGGGTGTTCTTATGCATATGCCCTTTCTTCTGATCAGCTGGATGCTTCATTCTCCACTCTAGTCCTCTGTGGCTATGTCACTGACTTTGGGCCCAGGAGTCCTCAGGTCTTGCCAAACTACTGGCCAACCAGGTCTCCACCCAAGTTCAAAGGAGTCTATTGAATGTGGTTGGACTAAGCTCGCAGCTTCATTGCTGTTTTTCCCTCACTTCCCCTTATCAGTGACCAACGTGGACACCAATCAGAGTGCATGTCTGCTCATGTATGCCCCTTGAGTCTTAGTCTTGGAAGAGGGATTGCGCTGAGGGGACCCGACCACTTGCCTTGATGTCTCCTTGGCGAGCAACTTGATTGTTCTTGTAGTAGTCATTCAGACTGCTGTGATTGTTTTGTATTTTTCCTGTTGGTCTTTCAGGAAATACCTACTGTTCTAGCTACTCCTGGCTGGTCGGCTTGTTCTTTCCAGTAGAAATTTCACCCTCTTTTTTTTTTTTGAAAAGGTAAAAGTAGTTTATTAAATGTAAACATGTTAGAATAGTTTACAGAATTGTGAAATCTGGGCATAAAAATGATGATATGATGATACTGATTAGTCAAGGAAATAATGTAGTTTTGAATTTCACTTATAACTTTTATTACTTTCACTTTAGGTTTTCAAGTTTGTATTGTGACTTGAGTGATAGTTTACATGGGAGAACATCATTTTACACTCATCATTTCATTGCCATGATTACAGTCTCTGTGCATCATCATTCATCATCATTCAACATTATTTACTTCTATTTCCTCTGGGTTTTTTTTTTATTTATTGTTTTGTTTTGGAGTGATGTTCATGAAAACATTCAGGAATTTGTAATCATTTAACAACCAAAGAGCACAAGCCTGCCTCCTGGCCACTAGCACACAATCTTTCTCTTTCCATGAGTCTAGAGTCCTCAGCTGCTCCATCTCTCCATGTTCTCATCTTTTATTAAGAAAACATTTCTTAACTTTTTATAACATGGGTCTTACGCAATATTTACCCTTTTGTTACTAATTTCACTTAGCATAATGTCCTCCAAGCTCATCTGTCTTGTCAGGTGTTTCACATACTCTTGATTATTCATAAACATTGAGTAGTATGAGTGTGTATGTATCAAAGTTTGTTTAACCATTCTTCTGTTGTTGGACATTTAGGCTGTTGCCATCTTTTGATGTATCTCATGTAGACGGCAGATTGAAGGATCCTTGTTTTCTTATCCATTCTGCACTCTGCTTCTTGACTGCTCCATTTAATACATTTGCATCTAGTGTAATAATTATCAATAAATATAAACTGATTGCTGTCATTTTGCTGTGTGGTGTTTTGTTCTTGGGGTGTTTTTTTTTTTGGTTCCTGACTAATTCTGTCCCTTTTTTTTTTTTTTTAAGTTTTTATTGTGACCTGAGTACTGAGTGATAGTTTATATGAGAGAGCATTGGCTTTACACCATTGTTTCATTGCAGTGATTATGATCTCCTCCATATATCATTGTTCAACAGTATTTGCTTCCATTCCCTCTGGTTTGTTTTATTTTTTGAAGGGAGGAGGCTGAGGTGCTTGTGCTCTTCTCTTATGATAGTTCTAGGGCCCTGTGTTTATGGACTAAGATTAACTACTCCCCTCTTTTTGTTATAAAACTTCTACCTTTTCAGTTGTGACTATCATAATTAATCATGATAACATTTATTCGCTATTGAATCAAAGCCAGTCACTTTGTGCTTTTATCATCCCCTTATTTTAGGTAGCTAGTATATAAATTGCTCATCCCTATCTACCCTGTATACAGAGGGGATAGCATTGATACTTGTTTTATCTTCCTCCAGTCAAGTTCTGATTATCAAACCATCGTAGCTAGGTGAAATGGTTACTATCTGCAAGTCTGGGTGTTCTTGTGCATCTCCCCTAACTTCATATTAGCTGGATGCTTCACTCTCAGCTCTAGCCCTCCATGGCTAGAGCTCCACTCACCAGTAGACCAACGTGGTCGTCAGCAAGCCTACATGCCTGCTTATGTGTTCCTTTTGAGTTTCAGTCTTGGAGGGTGCTGTGTGCTTTTTGTGTGTGTGTGTGTGGTGCTCCTGGTTTGTTGGTTCCACATAATTTTCTGTGCTGAATTCCATTTGAACCACAAGATCAGTGGTTCAAACTCGCCAGCCACTCCTTGAAAACTGTACAGACTTGGTATGAGTTGGAACTGACTTGATGGCACTTAACAACAACAACAATGGAAACTTATTTAGCAGTTATCTTTTCTGTATATATAATATTTTGAGGAACTGCTAAACTGTTTTACAATCAGAGCATGTATTCCCATTGAGTCTTAGTCTTGGAAGGTGGTTTTAAGTGCTTAAAGTTTTATTTTCTGAATTAGAATTTGCTGCCTTCTGAGTCTGATATGATCTCACGTCTTTTCTCTTCCCTTTTATGTTCTTCTTTTGTTAACTGTGTGATCTAGGAAGAACAATTAGAAGCTGTATTGTCAGCAGCAATTCACACAAGTTCTTTGGGACTTTTGACTGGATGTATCAAAAGGTGGATAACAGAAGGTAAGACACTGATTTCTAGTGATTCATATTTGTTTTAAATCCATAAACATTTCAATATGTTTTTTTCTTCAACCATCAGGGACATTAACTTAAAAACTATTTTGTAATTATAAAAATTCAAGGGAATTGATGTTGATACATGTTAATCTAGACTATGTATAAATTTCATTGAAATCTTACCAACTGTTACTTTAAAGCAAAGTAATTACTTTATTCTTTCCTGGGTGGAAGAAGAGTAGGAAATCCAATATCATGTTTTGTATTTAGTGTTCATGCCTTTTAGTCTTCCTTGAAACATGATTTTCTTAAGCTTTGTCTTTAGAGGAATTGACACCTTAAAGAATACAGTCCTGTTAATGAGCCTTTTAGTTTGTGTTGATTAATCTTCCTTAGTACTTAGATTCAGGCTTTACATTTTTATAGGAGCACAGTGTGAAGTAATGTACTCTTTGATAATGATGCACTGAGAAGGATACACAGTATCAGTTTATCTCTATTAATGGTAATATTAATGTAATTTGCTTAGAGTGGTGTCTGCCAGGTTTCTACACTATAAAGTTAATAGTTTCTGCTTGTAATTAATAGTCATTCTTTATTCTTTTCTTTTATATTCAGAACAACCAAATTCTGCTGCTAATTTGCACTTTGTTCTTGAATGGACATGGAATAAAGTGATTCTCACAAAAGGGGAATTTGACAGACTATGTAAGTGTTATAAGTCTGTGGATGAAGCGAAGGATTTAATATATTTTTTAAGCTGATCTTAATTTTCAGAGTTGTTGTTAAATGTTACCTAGCTGGTTATTACTCATAATGACCTTATATAGGATTAACAGGGAGCGACTGGTGGGTTGAACCTCTGCCCTTGCAAGTAGCAGTCTAGTGCTTAATAAAAATACTTTTTAATCATTTTGAAGTTGTAAACCCTTAAAATTTAAAGATATAACAGAAGAGAACTATTTCTTTTTTTAAATTCTTTATTATGAATTGTGAAGATTTACAGACAAGATCATTTTTGCATTCAATAATCCATACACTTTTTTTAATCTCAAGAAAAGTAGTTATCCTGCTTCCTCCCAGTGGTTCCTATTTGCATTCCATCCACCTTCCCCTCCCTTCTCAACTTTGTCTTTAACTAAAAGCTACTCTTTTGATTTTGAATGATTGACTGTTCTCTGGTGACCATACCTTACTCGTATATTGTTGTCCCCCAATATGTACCTATCTACTGCTTGTCTAAAAATTGGTTTTTTCAGACCTGAAGGGTGGTCAAGGGCCGTAGTCTCAGCTTCCTACACTAAAAGAGAAGTATTTCTTTTGACATTAAAGTGACAGAGTTCATTTTTGGCCAAGATTTTGCAGCAAATTTTTAGCTGGCAGCATGCTAATAATTGCAATATATGTAAAAGTAAAATTTAAGTTTATTTAGAAGTATGCATTATATCATGAAGGATGAACAAATGGACTCTTGAAGATATTTCACTATAACTAATTTTTTATAACTTGTTTATTTTCAAGGAGCCCTGATGACACTTTGGTTAAGCACTTGACTGTTAACATAAAGGTCAGCAGTTGAAATTCACCAGCCAGCCATTCCACTGGTGAAAGATGTGGCAATGTGCTTCTATAAACATTACAATCTTGGACACTTTATGAGGTAGTTCTGCTCTGTCTTGTTAGGGTTGCCATGAATCACAATTTCTCAATGGCATATGTTGTTGTTGTTAACTGCTATTAAATTAGTTCTGACTCATAACGATACTAGATAGGGTTCCTGAGGATTGATGGTGAATTTAAACCACTGACCTTGCAGTCAAATGGTTATCCTACAGCACCACACCAAGACTCCCAATAGCATATTCAAGTAGTGGCAGTGGTGTGCTGTGGAGTTAATTCTGACTCATAGCAACCCTGTATAGGCTTTCTGAGACTGTAAATCTTTGTGGAAGCAGAAAGCCTCATCTTTCTCCTGCAGATAAACTGGTAGTTTGAAACTGCTGACCTTGAGGTTAGCAGCCCAATTCGTAACCACTATACTACCTTATTTAATACAGTATTATTTATTTAATACAGTATTTAATACTTATTTAATACAGTAGATGTGTAGAATACCTAATAGTTAAGGAACAGGATAAAAATACATGTTTTAAGCTGAAAATATCTTTGCAGTAAGAAGAAAAAAAACATTAGTACACAATTGTAGGATCATTGTTGATGATTATGATTCCAACATGTGTTTCAAGGTTGAACTGGCAACTCAGCCCTTGTTGCTGTTTTGAGCCACCTTGCTAGTTATTGGAGATTTAAAAAATTATAGGAATAATTAAAATTCAAAACATAGTAAGTGTTTAAGTATTCTGGCAGTCTTTGTGTTACGGACAACTGCTAGTGGTGGTGGTGATGTGCCATCAAGTTGGCTCTGACTCATAGCGACCCTGTGTAGAGTTTCCAAGGCTGTAAATCTTTATAGGAGCAGAAAGCCTCATCTTTCGCCTGTGGAACAGCTGGTGGATTCAAATCACTGACCTTGCAGTTAACAACTCTGCATGTAAGCCACTACACTAATATTATATAAATGTGACCTCACTTTGATTGAAGCAACCCATACATGCAACCAGTTCCTCTTCATAATCATCTTTATGTATTGTACATGCAGCTTTTAAGTCATTAAAAAATCTTTGAGCCTTTTCTTTCACTAAAGTATAAAAATCAAAAAGTCAATGCTATCAAGCTGATTCCAACTCTTAGCAAACCTATATGACAGAATAAAACATCCTTAGCATTTTAGAGACTAAATCTTTATGGGAGCAAGATAGCCTCATCTTTCTCTCACAGGGTAGCTGTTTTTTGAATTGCCAACATCTGTCATAACCCAATGTCTAACTCACAGCACCACCAGAGCTTTTCTTATACATGTTCCAACTTACATACAAATTCCACTTACAAACAAACAATGTTTGTAACCTGGGGATTGCCTGTTACTGAAAGTAAAGTAGATTCGAATTTGAGAAAGGGATTGAGAATTAAGAAATTCGAGAAATTATAATTAAAAGAAGTTTGTTTTCTGGACAATTCACACATAAATGTTGTTAAGTGCCTTCGAGTTGATTCCGACTCATAGCGACCCAATATAGGGTTTCCGGGAGCAGTTGCTGGGTTTGAACTGCCAACCTTGTGATTTTCAGTCCAGTGATCCTACAGTGCCACAACAGGATCCCACATAAATACAAATATAATGAAATTGGTCATTAAAAGTAAGTCCTTAATCTTTTGATGTGTGGTGGTAATGGGGATGAGCTCTAGATCCAGAATATTTGAGGTCAGATCCTATGACTCTCATTAGTTTTATATGAAAGCCATCACCTGACTCTCCCCTCAAATTATTCATCTGAGAAATAAAATAATAATATGATTTGCCTCATAGGGTAATTATAAAAATTTAAATTAGGAGACCAAGGCAAGATGACAGAGTAGGTAGATGCACTGAGCGCAGCTTCCAGCAGACGAGGGAGACACACTGAAACATACAGATAGTGATCATGGAACTCTGAGCATCAGAGGATAGGACAGAGAGTTAGATTGAATGTCAGCTGGAAAAGGAAGCTGAACAGGAGCAGTAAGATAAAAACAACGGACTGCGCTGGCATGGAGCAGGAAGGCCATCTTAAGCCTTTGTTGATCAAGTGTTTGTTGATTCAGCAGTTTCCAGGCATAGGACTCAACTGGAGGTTGGGTGCAAGTGACTGTAGTTCTAACATGCTCTAGTGCCCCCCTAGCTGGGGATGTGGCTACAACGTACCCTCATCAAGCCAGTTGCCAGTAGGACCCCCTCTTGCACAGTCTTTGCCTGGGGTTGTGTACCCCTCCCTGCATGAAACCACCCTGAACTATACTGCATAAGCCTTGAACAGAGAACTAACTGGGCTCACACTTTTGGTCTCTACCACATCCACCAGAGACAAGTGGTGAGTGCATGCAGTCATCAATTAAATATAAATACAATACCCAGTGTCTCAGAGAAAATGGATTATTTCAGTCTATACAAGAAACAACACAGAAGTACTAAACAACACAACCAATCAACTTGACCTTGGACCCATACACTGATCATACAACCCAACAACAGCACAGTACACATTCTTTTCTAATACACACGGAACATTCTCCGGAATAGGACATATATTTGGCCACAAAGCAAACCTCAATACATTTAAAAACATGAGAATACTACACAGCATCTTCTCTGATCACAACACTATAAAATTAGAAATCAGCAATAGGAATATCAAGGGGAAAAAAAATCAAGTATATGGATATTGAATAATACCCTGCTTACAAACATAACCCCAACACCAAAACTGAACAAAGACATCACTAAAGAAAATTAGAGACAAATATCAATCATAAACATTAGATGCAAAAAATCTCAACAAAATCTTAGTCAACAGAATCCAATTACATAAAAAATAGTACATCATGATCAAGTAAGTGGGATTCATACCAGTTATGCAGGGGGGTAGGTGGTTCATTATTAGAAAAAACATTGTAATATACCACATAGATAAAGGAAAAGAACCATATGGTTATATCAGTTGATGCAGAAAAGGCATTGAAAAATCCAACACCAATTCCTGATAAAAACATAATTAAGAGTATATTTACAAAACCAGCAGCCAGCATCACTCCCAATGAAGAAAAATAAACCATTCGTCCCCCTTGCTCACAGGAACTGGACAAAGATGTACTTTATTACCACTCCAACTCAATATTGTGCTAAAAGTCTTAACCAGAGCTATAAGACAAAAAAGGGCAGCTAAAGACATCTGAATTGTCACAGAAGAAGTAAAATATGTTCAGTTTGGAGAGGATATGGTCCTATAGTTAGAAAATTCCCAAGCGTCAGCAACAAAGTTACTGGAATTCATTGAATAGTGTCAGCAAAGTGGCAGGGTACAAGGTTAGCATACAAAACTCAGCTGGATTCTTTTAATACTAATAAAGAGAGCTCTGAAAAGGAAGTCAGGTAAACCTCATGCAATAGCCACGCAAAAGATGAAATAACTTAAGAATAAGTCTTAACTAGATAAACAAAAGACCTATACGAAGAAAACTATAAAACACTACTAACAAGGAACCAAAAGAGAGTAACAAAAATGGAAGAATATACCATTCTCGTGGGTAGGAAGACTTTTATCAAAATGTTAACACTAACCAAAGCAATCTGTAGATACATTTCAATCCCAGTCCAGGTTCCAACATCATTCTTAAAGAGATGCAAAAACCATTCACCAACTTTATCTGGAAAGAAACTACTAGACTCTGGATAAGCAAAGCATTACTAAAAACAAGAGTAAAATAGGAGGCCTTTAACTCCTGGTCTCAAAACTGGCTACATAGCCATGGTAATTAAAACAGCCTGGTACTAATACAACAAAAGACACATAGGCCAATGGAGCAGCATTGAGAGCCTAGAATTAAATCCATCCATATACATAGTGGTTACAAATTGGACTGTTACTGTCAGGATTGACAGTATCAGGACCTTGAGGTTAACAACCCGATTTGTAACTACTATGTATTGCATTGGGCAAATCTGCTGCACAGGAACTTTTTAAAGTGTTGAAGAGCAGAGATGTCAGCTTGAGGACTAAGGTGCGCCTGACCCAAGCCATGGTATTTTCAATAACCTCATATGGATGCAAAAGCTGCACAGTGAATAAGGAAGATCGTAGAAGAATTGATGCCTTTGAATTGTGGTGTTGGAGGAGAATACTGAAAGTGCCATGGATAGCCAAAAGAACCAATAGATCTGTTTTGGAAAAAGTGCAGCCAGAGTACTCCTTGGAGGCCAGGATGGCTAAGCTTCGTCTCTCATACGTTGGACATATTGTCAGAAGGGAACAGTCGCTGGAGAAGGATGTCATGCTGGGTAAGATGGAGGGTCAGAGAAAAAGAGGAAGACCCATAAGGAGATGGATCGGCCAGGTGGCATCATTGATGGCGTCAAGTGTGGTGGCGGTAGTGAGGTTGGCCCAGGATCGGACATTGTTTCGTTCTGCTGTGCATGGGGTCTCTATGAGTAGGTTCCGACACATGGCACCTGACAACAACAACAGCAACAACCTCAAGGTCGGCCATTTGAAACTACCAGTGGTTCCACAGGAGAAAGATGAGGCGTTTTGCTCCTGTAAAGATTTACAGCCTAGGAAACCCTGTGCAGGGTCACTTTGAGTTGGAACTGATCCCATGGTGCTTAAAAACAACAACAACACATACATTCATTTTATCAATGACAAGGAAAAAACGAGTTCAATAAGAATTAAAGACCTAATTGGAAAGCTTAAAACTGTGAAGATCATCAGTGGAAAAAAATAGGGGAAAACTTAGGGGCTCTAATACATCGCATAAATACACTGTCAAACTAAAAACAAAAACAGAAGACAAAATAGATGACTCGGACCTCCTAAAAATTAGACACTTAAATATATCAAAAGATTTTTCCAAAAGAACTATCGTAGGAATCCTTTCAAAACATAGTCATTTCCCAACTACTAAAACTATGGCCAAGCAGATTTATTTTTGAACCAGATTTTAATTGAAACTTGCTTAAATTGGAGATTTCCCCAATAAAATGTCTCTGATCTTATTTGGAAACTTAATTTTTATAAAAGGTATAACCATCAACAAACAAAACCCTCTTTTCCCCAAAGATGAATTTGTCAAACTTAAACTTAAATCTCTTAATTTAATATCATAAGTAATAGAATTTGAAAAATTTTGTATTTGTGATTCTAATTCATTAAGGTTTACTCTGTAGAGATTTACTCTGTGGAAACTAATCTCATATTTTATCCTTGAAAGGTGTTCCATTATTTGATGGTTCATGTCGTTTCATTGATCCACAAACCATGCAGTCTATCCAGCAGTGCCATTTGCTGTTTACCAACCTTAGTACAGTCTTAAGCTATTTTGCTACAGAGGCCCAAGAGATCACTGAGAGAGGTATGCACTTCCTTTTATATAAATGAGTGTTTTAAATTTTAATTTTTACTTAAGGCAAGATTAAACTCTTAGACCTTCGATGGGTCATGTATTGTTGTTGTCATTGCGTCTTTTCAGACTTAGAGACCCTGTATAGGGTTTCCAAGGAGCAACTGGTGGGTTTGAGTTTCTGACTATGTGGTTCCCAGTCCAGTGCTGATCCTACAACGTCACACCAACCGTCCATGTGTAAAGATCTATAGGAATGTTACTAGATATTCTATAACCCCATGCTTATATCAGCTTTGTTGTTGTTAAGTACCGTAGTAGGTTCCCGACTCCTAGTGACCCTTTATAGGGTTTCTGAGTAACAGCTGGTGAGCTTTGACCTTCTAATTCAAACCAACCTTGTACTCCAGAAAGCCACACCAGAACTCCTAAATAAGCTTAGAAAGTTCTAAAATTAAACTTCATGGTTGTCAAGATTGTATATTCCCAATAGAATTTCAGAATTTATGTATTTTTATTCACAGGGTTCATTTTTTTTTTCTTTCTGTTTAAACAAAACCAAAAAATTATTTTTATTTAAAGATGTGGTATGAGTAATCTATATTAATCATATATTTCAGCTAGTCTGAAATTAACTAACTTGAAGTAAATATAGCTATGATTAAAGGATGTTGTTGATGTAATATGCTGTCAATTCAATTCTGACTTACAGTAACCCTGTATAGTGCTTCTGAGGAGCAACTTTGTGGTCAGCAGTTCAGTGCTTACCATATAGCGCCACACCAGGACTCCACATTGAAGTATATTTACCTAAAATGTCTGTGTAAACATTGACTCGTTTATTCTAGCATTTTAGATATACTCTTGGACCAGAAGTATCAATTTGGACTAAAGTAAAATCAGTGCAAACATAGATCTGTTATACACACACTCACACACACACACACACACACAGGACTCCTGGTATGGCATTGTAGCATCAGCACTAGACTGGGAACCTGAGGTTAACAGTTCTGCTCCTTAGAAACCCTGTACAGTGTTGCTGATGACACTTAACAACAACAGATATATACACATAATGTTAAAAAATGTTAAAAAATCAAGTTACTAGCTTTTGGGAAACTTGAACATTTTGGGTTTTCATTGCTGGCCAATTCATTGATTAATAAGACTGATGTTCAACTCTCCTCTACAGGTCTGATGGACTTAAGAAATAAGCATATGGTTACCCAGCTCCTCTGTCAGTATACACAAATGATTCTTTGGTTCTCTCATTCTGGACTTTTACCAGAAGGCTTAGGTAAAATATTTAATTAACCTATATATATTACTTGAAACATTCTTAATTCTCTATATAATGCTTCAAGGTTTCTTTCATTTCACTCATATTTTATTTCTTACATTCTTCCTTACATTATATCTTAAGTGTATAAGCCCATGCCTGATAAGCAGGTGTCTGTATACATTTATTAAATTAAATAGCATGTAGAAGAAAAGCTCATTTGGGAAAGCATGGCTTCTGATTTAGATCCATAGAACTTTGATTTTTATAATTGAATTTGTTGACCCTCTTTCTCTTTCAGGCTCTCTTATGGTTATTAGCTAACATTGTTGTTGTTGTGTTATGTGCCGTGGAGTTGGTTCCGACTCATAGCAACCCTGTACAGGGTTTCCGAGGCTATAAATCTTTACGGGAGCAGAAAGCCTCATCTTTCTCCCGCGGAACTAACATTATTTGCCATCAATTAAATACCCCCTTTTTTCTAACAATTTATCTCAATAACAAGAATTAGAGACTAACTTTTATACTATATTTGTTTAGAGTACATTTGGCCCCCATTTTCTTACAGCAGGAAGCACATTAGATTTTATTTAGAAGTGCTTTTCCGACTGTGCAAGTAATTGCTGTTGGTCATATTTTTTCATAGTTTTCTTTGATTCTAATTTGAGTAAATAGTGAACATCATTTGCTTCTAATTATCATTTGAATTTAAGATTGTTTTATGTAGGTTTTGAGCCAGTATCCTTGTGGTTATAGATTTCATGACCTTTTTTTTTCTTACTTGTGCATCTGTAAATACAGGAAGCATGTACTATTCTTTTGGAGTCCTGGTGAGTGTGCTCTAAGATAAGGTCAGTGGACTGCTAACCATAAGTTCAGTGGTTCAAGCCCACCAGCTGCTCTTTGGTAACTTACATAAACAGGGTCGGTGTGAGTCAGAACTGACTCAACGGAACTTACACAACATAAAATTGCAGTAAAATATCAGTGTATGTAGCCTTAAATATTGTTGGCATATTTTGGGAATATTATTAATCCCTTTTCTAACTATTAAAAAAACGTAGATGATGCTGTGCAGTTGTCAAGGTTGTGCTACAACTACCCTGTAATTCAAAACTACTACACCAGCCGTCGTGAGAAGTGTGAACGCTTATCCAGGTATTGTACATTCATAACCTTTAAAACACCTTAGAGAATTTACTTACACATCAAAACTTTCTCAGATAAAACAAGTAGTAGAGTTTATCTTGTTACAAAACTTTTCGATAGGTAGGATTCTAGGTGAAGTATCAGAATTTGTTACCAAGACTATTGTTTTATTTGTAATTTTTTTTTACCTAGTAGATACATGCTTATTTTAGAACTTGAGGATACCTACTCATTACTTCTAAATGAAATTCTTAGGAGTGGTTTTTGAAAGGAGATTCTATAGTTAAGCGTTCTCCCCTAAAGGTAATTCTTGTTCAGAAAAAGGCTAGAAGCTAGCATTCATCGAAAAACCATAAAACATATCTCCAATTAAAGTTATTCTACAATCTTTTCATAACAGTTAGATTTCAGAAATTTATTCATATCTTGTGTTCTTTTTCTTCTTTTGTTTTTCTTTTATCCTGTCTTTTTAAAATACATATATATTAGCCTAGTTGATGCCTTTGAAATAGATAAGTCAAAGAAATAGAATACTTTCTGTAGCATTAGGCCTAACTCTGGAATTAAACAACCCTTTTTGCAATAGTAGAATAACATGTAACATTTAGAGCAATGATGCACATTGTTGATTCCTGGTTCAGTACATTGATGTTGATTCCTGGTTCTGTACATTACCTGAAAATCTGTACTTTTAAAAAAATTGTGCACACCTGTTAGAATGACAGTAGTCCAAAGCACTTTCCAAAAACTTCAGATGCATTTGTGGATGTGGAGCAACAGGAATTCTTATTCTTTGCTGGTGGGAATGTAAGATGGTACAGCCATCTTGACCTTGGAAGATAGTCTGGCAGTTACAAAGCTAACCCATAGGCTTTACCCTACAATCTTGGAATTGTACTACTAGGTATTTACCCAAATGTGTTAAAAATTAGGTCCACATAAAACTAGCACATGAGTATTCTTAGTTGCCCAAAACTAGAAGCAATCAAAATGTCCTACAGTAAGCAAATAGATGAACAAACTATAGTATGAGTACATCCATACAATGAAGTATTATTCAGTGATAAAAATAAATGAGCTATATGAACATGTAAAGGAAGTTATGAATACATAGAGGAACCTAAGTATATATCTGTGAGTGAAAGAAGTCAGTCTGAAAAGGCTCCATATTCTTCAATACCCCTTACATGTCATTTTAGGAAAGGGAAAACTAAAGATATCAATAAGATCAGTGGTTGCTAGAGAGATTCAGATGGAAGGATAAGTACTGTTATGGTGGCCATGTGACATTATGCATTTGTCTAAACCTGTAAGACTACAATGCAGAGAAGGAACCATAATATAAACTCTGGACTTTAGTAAATAATGATATGTATCAATATAGTTTATTCATTTATAACATATAAAATGTTAATAATGGGCCCCACTGGCTGCTCTGAAAAGCCATCTTTGCATTGTTCCTGGGTCCGGCTCCCTGCTCCTCGCAGCCACCGCCACCACACTCCTTCTCCACTTTCTGCGGACTCTGGCTGCTCTCTTGCCAGAATCCCCGAACTCGCACTTTTTGTTATCCTCTGTATCAGATCACCAGCGTGTCCCATCATGTCAGACACGACTGTGGACACCAGCTCCGAGATCACCACCAAGAACTTAAAGGAGAAGAAGGAGGTTGTGGAGGAAACAGAAAATGGAAGACATACAACCACTAATAGGAACATTAATGAGGAAAATGGGGAACAGGAGGCTGACAATGAGGTAGATGAGCAAGAAGATGGGGAGGAGGAGGAGAAAGAGGAAGACGGTGATGGTGTTGGTGAGGAAGAAGATGGAGATGAAGATGAGGAGGCTGAGGCAGCTACGGGCAAACAGGCAGCTAAAGATGATGAGGATGATGATGTTGACACCAAGAAGCAGAAGACCACCGATGAGGATGACTAGACAGCAAAAAAGGAAAAGTGAAATATAAAAAGGCCACCATGACATATTCACCCTCCACTTCCTGTCTCAGACTCTAAACTCAGTCACCTTCGAGTAGAAAGTCCCACCCGTCCATTTGGGCTAAGTACCACCCGCAGATACAAGCACTCACCACCAACCAACCAAAACCACAACGTGAATTTGCAACAGGGGAGAAAAAAGAACCTAAACTTCCAAGGCCGTGCTTTTTTACTTAAAAGTATTTAAAAAGGAAAATTTGTTTGTATTTTTTATTTACATTTTATATTTTTGTACATATTGTTAGGGGTCAGCCATTTTTATTGATCTCGGATGACCAAACAAACCAGCCTTTGGAGTGTTGTCTGTCCTAATTCTGACTTTGCTTGTGGTGTGACCATGTTCATTATAATCTCAAAGGAGAAAAACAAAAACCTTGTTTAAAAAAAAAAAAAAAGCAAAAACAACAACAATCTTATTCCTAGCATTCCAGTCACTTTTTTTGTGTATGTACTTAGCTGGACTATAAGTAGTTGGTTTGTATGAGATGGTTAAAAAAGGCCAAAGATAAAGTTTCTGGTTTTTTTTTTTTTTTTTTTTGTCTATTAAGTTGTTTTTTATTATTTTTGGCCTGTTTAATGTATGTGTGAAACAATGTTGTCCCAACAATAAACCAACATTTTATTTTGCTGAGTTGTTCTAACAATAACAACAACAAAATGTTAATAACAGAAAAAATGTGTAGGGGAAGAAGGAGGTATATGAGAACTTTGTACTTTCTGCATAATTTTCTATAACCCTAAAATAGCTCTAAAAAATAAACTGTGCCAAATATAATTGTGATGCATGACAAATTTAATGAACAAATACTCTAGCATGGACTTGGGAGATTAAGTATATTTTAAGATTCTGGGTCTGTTATTTACTAGGTGTGTGTCCTTGAGCAAGCTTTCTAATCTTTATTTTGGTCGTATGTTATAAAATTATATAATGTAAAATTATGTATATATGCAAGGCACCCAGTATCGCATAACTCAGAGAAAGCTCAATAAATAGTAACTGCTGCTACTTTTATTTTAGATGAGTAAACAGCTTATCACATTGTTGGTGCTCATTTGTATGCTTTTTAAATGAAGGAATCACTAAGGTTAAATTGCTATCCCAAGTTATGAAACAAACTTTAACTCTTGACTTGGAACCAAAGTATTTTTACTATATTGGACTGCTGTAACTTTATGGTAATATCCTCAGAATGGTGAAAAATATATAGGCTTGGGCATTTCACTGGCTGGACTGCTTTCTCCACAGAAACTTGACCTTGGCTGACTGGCTTACTAGTGATAGAATTTCAGGCAACTTCAGGGTTTTTCTACTAACTGTTTGATGTCTGGAGTTCTCACAATACTAAATGGTTCTAGTTTTCAAATTTCTCCTGGTGTGGCGCTGTATGATAAGCTCAGGATTGCAAAGTCAGCAGTTCAAACTCACCAGCCACTACTCTGAAACGTTACACAGTATCACTATTAGTCTGAACCAGCTCGATGTCAGTTAACAACAACAACAATGATTGGAATCATTTTAAGATTTCAGTATTTGTTTTGATAATAATAAACCTGTCTTTTAAATCCTACTCTTGCCCTTATTGCAGAGGGAAGTGGAACCCTGATTGTTTGATGATTGATGGAATAGTTTCTCAATTGGGAGATCGAGTTGAGAAGTTATGGAAGCGAGATGAAGGAAGCACAGGAAAATATCCTCCTATGAGTCTACATGTAGGTTTACAGTAACGATATTGCTTAAAGGTTACCAATAGTATATAAAATTTGGGTGGGAGTAGACATGGTGGTGATGATTATGTGCGTGGAGTCAGTTCCGACTATTAGGGACCCTGTACAGGGTTTCTGAGGCTGTAAATCTTTACGGGAGCAGAAAGCCTCATCTTTCTCCCGCGGAACAGCTGGTAGCTTCGAACTGCTGACCTTGTGGTTTGCAGCCCGATTCGTAACCACTATGCTACCAGAGCTCCTATATTGCTTACATATAGTTTTTCACCTCTGGTGCAGACAGGACAAACAAAAGAGTATGAGTGAATAAATCTATAAAGTGTACTGAACCTTTTATCCCTTAATTTTGCAGGCTCTGCTAGATATGTACCTACTAGACAATGTTACTGAAGCAGCCAAACATTCTGTTGTATCCTTTTGAATTTTGTCAAAAATAATTCATGTCTTAGCATCATCGTAAGATTTCAAAGTAGTAGGAGTTTAACATAGTTTTAAACCATTGCAATTTCATGTTTGAATTTTTGTTTGTATGAATTGAGTTTAATACCACCTTTGGCATTGTGTTTCAACCCTTTGGTCTTTGAAATAAGATCTTTATGCCTGTTAGTAATTATACTTTCATAGCTGGATACCCAGGATGGCTTAAAGCAAAAAAGAAGTCTTTTATGCTACATTGTTTGTCCTTATTCGAAACATAAATGTAGGCGGTTTTTGTTTATTGTCCTTAATCTTCTTTTTTTCCTTAAAAAAAAAAAAAAAGACCATTTATTTGCTGCTTGATATTATGTATTCCTTTCCAAACAAAGCGGATACTTCAATTGAATCTTTTCCAACTGCTTTTGCCATTTCTTGGGGCCAAGTTAAACTTATTCAAGGTTTTTGGCTGCTAGATCATAATGACTATGAGGTAAGTGTATTGACTTACTTAGAATGTGAGCTTTTGTAAATTATTAGAATTTTAGGGGGGAAATACATAATTAGATTATATTTGTTATTAAAGATGTGATAGTATCTACTTCTATAAGTCAATTTAGAAGGACTTAATGTAATCAGTACCATTCCCTAGTTATTGTCTAAGGCAGTAAGAATATAAAGTTAAAACATTTTAGAAAGCCAGGTGTCTTACTGTCTAAAGGAAACAAACAAACGATTGCTAAATAGTACAAGTATGATAATTACTATGTTAAATATATGTTTGGGATGTTTAGTATTGAAATGGAGTCGTGGTGTGGTGCTGTAGGATAAGCACTGAACTGGTAAACTCAAGATTCAGATCCCCAGCAACTCCTTGGAAACTGTAGAGTCACTATGAGTTGGGCCTGACTTAACAGAACTTAATAGCAGCAACATAGATTAAAGTAGATCTTTTCAGTTTATATTTAAACCGGTTTTATCTTAATGTTTCTATTATCCATTGTATATTGCCATTTGTATTTAGCATTTTTCATGTCATATTTGCAGAGTGCTTTGGATCTTCTGTTTCACCCAGCTACTGCAAAACCTGTACCATGGCAACATTCAAAGATTATTCAAGCCTTCATGATTCAGGGCGAACATAGACAAGCCCTCAGATATATTCAAGCAATGAAGCCACCAGTGTCCAATGGTAACGATGTTACCCTTCACCTCACTGTTTTGCTTTTTAATAGGTAAGTTCAAAAAGCTTTCTAATTTTTTTCTTTCTTTCTTTTTTTTTAATGTTTTATTGTGAATTATATGATAATTTACATGGGAGAACATTAGCTTTACATTCATCCTATTGTATATCATTTCATTCCCCTCCATGCACCATCAGCCAACCAGCGGGTATATCCTGCAAGCCTGCCCCCCAGTCAGCACATAGTCCCTCTCCATCTCTGTATCTAAAGTCCCCAGCTGCTCCATCTCCACGTCATCGTCTCTGCATCCATCTCTGACATCACTGCTTCTCTGGGTAGGATCACACTCTCTGCTCTTCTCCCTTGATGGTCCCAGGGACCAACCACAAGAGTCTTATCCCCATCTCCTTTCATCAGACCCGCCTAGACAGATTGGATACTACTCAGTGGAGATTCTACCTTCCTCCACACCCTCTGGATCTAGGCTCCTTCTTGAAAGCTTGTAAGCCAGTCACTTCTTGCCTTTGTAAACCCGCCCCCCCCCCCCCCCCACCCCCCGGGCCCCCCCCCCGTTTTGGGTAGCCAGTGTCCAGGTTGCCCATCCCTGTCAACTCTGTGTATGGAGGGGGTGGGAATGATCCTCGCTGTAAAGATTGTTCCCTCTTTTGAGCTACTACATCCATAGGCGTAGGTCAAGTTCATCAAAGGCTTTCTAATTTTTGTTCTGTAAAAACTTGCATAACAGAAACTCAGTATTTCTTAAGCAGGTACAAACTCATTTTTTCTTTTTTGCAGTTAAACTCTTGATATTATATATGTTAATATTTTTTAATTGGTGACAAAGACAGCAACCTATATGGAATGGATTGCATTGCATATTATGACTTCTGGTCTTTCAATGCTTAGAAAAGTGTAGAGCACTTTTTTATCTAGAATAAGATAAATTGAATAAGAATAAGAAAGTGCCTTGAGTAAATGGGGAAGCCATACTGGGATTTAAAATTTTATCTGTTGATAGTTGACAGTCTATTGATGTGGATAATTGAGAGTTCCGTAATTGGAAAATTGAGGAGGCAGGAATAGAGAGGAAGAATAAAGTTGAGGGTTATTTTAGTGTGGTGTTTTGCTATTTTTGTGTTAATATTGGTTGATTGGGTATTACAGTTATTTGCACTTGGTTTTTGCCATTAAATTTGCCACTGTATCCTTATATAAAGAAAGTTGGGGTATCTATTTAAATGATTTTAAGAAAGTGTTGTTTAAAGTCTTCATAAGCACTATAGATTTGATTGAATGACATTTTTATATTGCTTCTTTCTTATTTTTACAATATTTTAATGTTCTCTCATCTGTGTGATGTATAGTGCAGTAACTCTGTAATATATGTACTGGACTGCGAACCTCAAGATTGGCGGTTCGAGTCCTACAGTCACTCTGTGGGAGAAAGATAGGCTCTGCTCCCACAAAGATTTACAACCTTGAAAATCCTATATAGTCTTGCTATGAGTTGGAACCGAGTTGACAGTACTAAACCAGGATATGTAAATACTTTAAATGTCCTCAAAAATAATGAATTAGGAAGTACTTGTTGAAATTCACAGAGTGAACATATTTGTGAATGTTACTTGTCTAGTTGAATAAATTTAAAATACTGATTCAAAAATTTTTTTTCCTTGACAAACAGAAGTTTCAAGAAACTGAATGTGATAAATATTTAATACATTGCTAGACAAATGGCTTGTGACATTTTTTCAGTTGCATGTAGCTTGGTGTCTTCTTAGTCTTTGTTGTTGTTAGTGTTGTCATGTCAATTTCAACTCTTTATAGTGACCCTTTTTATAGGGTTTCCAAAGAGCAGCTGGTGTGGATATGAAACACCAACCTTGTGGTTCAAACCCACCCTGCCGTCCATTGCTTATCCTACAGCACCACACCAGAACTCTTCACCCTTTAGTGACTTTAAAAGTTAGTGCTTCATCACTAATGTTATTAAGTGCCATTGAGTCAAATCGGACTCATATTGACCTTATATAGGATTTCTGAGGAGTGGCTGGTGGATTAAACTGTCAGCCTTTCAGGTAGCAGTCCAGTGTGTATCCTACATCTTTCACAGGTTAAAGATTTCTCTTCTTCAATTCCATTGTCCATCTTTGAATCATCCTTGGCATATTTCTGTTATTTGCTATTCTCCTTTTCTCTTCCCAGGTATGTCATATTCAGGCACTACATAATTTCTAAACCTTATTTCTCTCAAGTACAGTAAATCCATCATTGTCCAGTCCTTGGAAAACCACCATTAATTATCCTGTGTAATAAATGCAGAAATAAAAACAAAGTGCCGTTTGTAGGAAGTGATGGTGATGGTTTTTATTGGAAAGACGAAGATAACTTAGGAGAGAACTAAGGTTATTTCTTGTGGTCTGTACACGATTCTAAATTCCCCCAAATACCTGTATATCTATTCCAACAGAATGGTGAATCACAGTGTCCTTAAACCTTGGATAAAGGTTAAGTTCAGGAAGTATGCAGGAAGATACTAGGTTAGACTACTAAGGGGTCTTTCTAACACCCATATGCTAAGATTACATAACTGCAATTTAAAATGGCTAGAAAAGGTTTTAATATTTCAACCATCAGACTGGACTGCTTACTCTGGTTCCCAAATTTACCCCATGCCAGAAAGTAAGATGTTGCTAAGTTTTCTGATTCTTTTTTTTAAATTTGCATTAGTGATAACATTGTTTGGTTAATCTCAACTCTCTCCCAACTCTAACCTCTAGTACCTGTCTCCTTTTCTATAACCTTTATGCTGGTAGATTTTCAATTATATGAGCTGTATTTATGGACAGGCATCACAACTATGGCTTACTTATTTTACTTGCAAATTAGCCATGATGGCCATGGTATAATATTAGACTTAAGGTAAATAAGAGCTTTATATACTTAGCTGATAGCATTAATTGTTTCATGTTAGTATCAATAAGGTGCAACAGAAGAACATAAAGGAACAATTTAATATCATAAAGAACTGACTTAATTATCCCATCCCTACCCCCCAACCCCAGTTTTTGTGGGTTTATTCAATTGGACTTTTTAACTCATGCTGTGGGTAGTTTGTTTTTAGCTTTTTCTTCTTTACTAATTTGAAAATATAAATCTAAATAATTTATATATTGCTCTAGCTACATTCCTCAATTTTACTTATCATTTAAGTTTTTTTAAAAAATTTTATTATGATTTATTTTTATCATCTCTGTAGAAATTTCAGTTTATGTGGTTAATTTCTAAATTAACTGCTGATGGGTTTCTAACTTAATTGCATTTTGATAGCATAATGTGGTTTATGTGGTAGCTCTTATTTAAATTTTGATGAGACCTGCTTTACACACTGGCAAGTAGTCATTGAATAGTTGAAGCACTAAATATATTTGTCCAGAAGATCAAATTTGAGTTGTGATTTTGTGTCTTTAATTTTTTGAGTTGACTGGGAGTCCTGGTGTGGCACTGTAGGATAAGCAGTAAACGGGTTCAAACCCACCAGCCTTTCTTTGGAAACCGTATATAGGGTTGCTGTGAGTGAGAACCAACTCTACTGCTCTTAACAACAACAACTCTTAATAATGAATGTTTCTCTTCAGCCTATTTCTGTCAGCCTTTTATAGTTTGACTATTAGATACATAACAGTCTCGTTATTTTTTTTTCTATCATGTATAATTGCTAACATAGCTAAACTAACTTACTGTTTTTTATACCCAGTGTGGTGCTGTGGGTTAATGCGCCAGACTGCAAAGCCATTTGAACTGTAAGGTCAACGGTTCAAGCTCACCAACTGCTCCTCGGAAACCCTACACAGGGTTGCTATGGGTCAGAATCGACTCCACGGCACTTAATGACAACAACATATGTTTTTATCATTTTCTTCACCCTGGTTACTGAAGATCAGTAGTTGCTTGTGTTATATTGAAAATGAAAGCAACTGTAAAATAAGAGTTGTGTTCAGATTTGAATATTTGCAAATCAGGCATTCCAAAGGGGAGCATAAGCATGCATTTTTTTTAATACTTAGTTTTACAACTTTGTGAAGAGTTTGGAAGAGTATGGCGTTCATTTGATTGTCTGATATTCAATGTACTCTGTAAAACTAATATACCAAGAATTCCTATTGACTTAGGTACTCAACCTTAGCCTTAGTTTCCTACATTCCAGAGCTAGTTCCTGCAACAATCTGGGTCATCCACCCCAGATTATTGCAGAATGTTATGTTGATCAAGAATCACTTGTTCTAAATAGCAGAAGCAGAGGTCTAAGATAAAATGAAGTCTGTGTCAGCCACTTTAGTTGTATCAAGTATTATTGCTATCTAGTCGATTCTGACTCTTGGTGGCGACCCCACTTACAGAGTAAGTCGAATGTGCTTCATGTTGTTGTTAAGTTCCATTGAGTCAACTGTGACCCATAGCAACCCTGTATAGAGTTTCCAAGGAGCAGCTGGTGAGCTTGAACCACCGACCTTACAATTCAAACGGCTTTGCAGTCTGGTGCATTAACCCACAGCGCCACACCAGGTGTTCTAAATTGTAGTCTTTCAAAACCAGACTGCCAAGCCTGTCTTCATAGCTGACTATAGGTGGGTTCAAACAGCCAACCTTTCAGCTAGTTACTAAGCATTTAATCATTTTCTGAAAAAAACGAAAGACCCTCAACAAGATGAATTGCCACGGTGGCTGCAACAGTGGACCCAAACATACACAATTGTGGAGGTGGCACAGGACTATGCAGTGCTTCATCAGTTGTGCATAGGGTCCCTATGAGTCAGAATTGACTCAACAAAACCTAACAACAACAACATAGTAAGCACCCACATATTATTTTACAAGTGTGCAAGTTAATTTGGTAGGTTAAATCCGTCAAGAGGAATTACTGGGCGAAAAGGATATTTGAGTTATAATTTTGATAGCTATGACATATTGTTCCCCAGTTTAGCCACATCACCTTCTGACATGCTCTTTGGAATATAGTGTGTTATTAGATATATAGATGTTTATCTGTG